TTTTTTTTTTTTTTTTTTTTTTTTTTTTTTTTTTTTTTTTTAAACAAGTTAGAAGAACTAGTGATCTTTGACCAAGAAGTTAATGATGATATTCCAGATTAAGACTAAAGGATAGCTAAGAAAAGAAAATGATTTTGTTAGTGGTAAGTGCTCTTGTCATACACAAATGGAAATGAATCACAAAAAGATAACAAGAGGTTTTTGTTCTTGGTGTGTTTCTATCAAGCATATCGATTTGTATTTCCTAGAATCTATAGTCACTATATTCTATAAACACCATGTACTTTCTCAACAATATGAACAAACTTTACCAATTATGCAAACTTATCCATTATTAAGATAGTTGATATATGTAAAACATCTACCAAGACTAATCATTAGGAAGAAAGGGTCCATGAGTAATTAATTATGGAATTTCTTTAGGGAATGAAGATCATATTTAGGCTTCTCTTGTATATATGTGCATAGAAGGATTCACACGTCAGAGTTGAGGTACTTAATTGTTAATAAATGCTTAATTTTTCTACCAAATCTATTCAAAGTTCAAACTATCAAGAGAGATTATCTAGAAAGTTATTAACTTCCCTCTAAACGAGAAAAATAAAAGCTATCATCAATTGTAGTTTGTGTGAAGGTGAGAATCCATACATAAGGTCCTTCATCTTGCTTGGGACATTGTCAAGGGATGTCAATTATCCTTTTACATGTTTTATACTTTTATGCAATGTGATTGTCAAATTAGCCCTTTTTTAAAACATTTCACTTAACTTGATTTCTATCTACCTTACCTTATTCAATCAGTCTAATGTGGATATGAATTGTGCACCCTTATGTTCTTAGGTGTGATTAGCTCATTCATATCCTAGAACAATGTGGTTGGGATGAGACGGTGCTTCGGGACATTTTGGTCTTTTTGCTAGAAAGGAAGAAATTTGAAAATCATTAATATATAGATATTTAATTAATGGCTAAAAAACAATGTTTGCTAAACATAGACTAGAGAGAGAGAAAAGTTGAAGAGAGTAAAGGCAATTCAATCGGTGGTGGAGTAATCTAGGATTCTAGGTTAATCTGAATCTTGATTCTCCTTTTTGGTATGTGAAGAGGACTCTTTGGATTTCCTTCTACTAGTCAATCAATCAACAATTGATTTCTCTTTCTATCTCGTTAAAGGTATAGCATCGCTTCTTGAGTTTCTTGTGTTTTTTGGTATCTTCTTAGTAGTTGTCTCATAGATTCTTCCATTTGGTGCAATTGATCTTTAGATTTTCATACACAATTAGATTTGAGCTTTAATGTTTTTCAATGCTCTATATAATGCTCGACTTTTGTTGAAATTTTAGTCTCTTACATGCTCATAGTTATTTTTTATTGTCTATTTATTACACAATTGCCGTCGATGAAAAGGGGGGATTTTGCCCTTTTAGTTTGAAGGAAACTAATTTTCAATGAAGCAATTTTACACTTAATCAAAGTCTTCAATCTTCGATAAAAGAATCGAAAACTCAAATCAATCAAGAATTAGTCAAATTATATTGACTATTGTGACTTAAGGTCACAATAATCAGTTTGCAGTGTTTGGCAAGAATTGATTATAATTTATGATCATGAGTCATGACTTTCTTGTATTTAGAGTCAAAAATAATTGAATTATATGATTCTTCAAGTCACAATAATCATTTTTGAAAATGCTCATCGAAACACCCCATTTAACTATAGCTTTTTGGCATGATATTACAAACTATGAGGTTAACATATGTTTTTATTTCATTTTTCCTTTTTTGAAGTTTTTGAGCCATGGAGAAGACACCACACTCTATTCCTGAGCCAAGTGTCAAAGGAATAATGCAACGATTATTACTTGACTTGAACCAATTGCCATTGGATATAAGTGAGGAACCAAAGAATGATGTGCCTCCACCTCCCCCTTTCACTATTGACTTGACTTTCCATAATGAAGATATGGAAGTGCTCAAACAAAAATATAAGGTAATACCCAAAATGTAGATTTGAAAAAAATGTGTTCTTTTTTGACCTTTTGTTATGATTTTGACATTTTGTATGTTGTAATATTTGTTTATTGTGTAGGTCTTGACCTCCTCCTCCTCCTCATCATCATCATCATCATCATCATCATCATTTGTCAGCAACGATTACTTGAAAAACTTAGGGTGATGTTTAATTACTTTCATCTCAACTTGTACTTTTTTTTTTTTTAGTTCACAATGTTTTTTCCTTTTTCCCTTCTATTTAATTTGATAGTTGATTTTTTTTTCTATCATGATGTTGTAGGTTTGAAGATGGTTGCCCAACTATGATGCGTATTAGAAATAAAAAGGTAATCATACTTTCTTTCTCTATGTTTGGTTCAACATAATTTGACCAAAAATTAAAAATTTTGACCAAAAATATCAAATACTTTTATGGTGATGTTGCTTCTTTTATATGCTTGTAGGTTAAAATGCCTAGAAACTCCAACAATGCCCTTGCTCGTTCTTTGTTCAAGGAACTCACTAAGAAAAATGAGGTTGTTTTCGTGGCTACCCTCTATATTCTTCTCATAAGTTCTATCCTTGTTTTGTTTTCATGAAGGGCATATTAGTAAATGATCACATCAAAGGAATTGGTTAGCTTGCCTAGAGTATTAAGAGGGAATGAAAGTACATTGCTATTTCTTACATTTAGTGTAATCACTTCTTTTGTAGAATCAAACATTTGCTTTCTTGTTTATATTCACTTTGAAATACAAACATGATCATATAGTTTATGCCAAAATTATAAGCACATTCTTTCTCATATTTCCTTCAGAATAATATTAGTATTTTGATTCACAAACACAGGGTGAAGATTTGATGGTGTCACTTTATGAGCCTATAGAAGGGAACAAGGACAAACAGAAGGTACTTACAATAGTATTAATAATGATATCATCATTATTGATATTATAAAAAAATAATACATTTGATGATATACAATATATTATCCCTCAGGGAAAAGATCAGGTTGCACATCGTTTAGCTGCAAAGAGCCTTTTAAGGGACTTTGTGTTGCAGTCCAAGGATCGATACAGGTATTCTTTTCTATATTTTAATAGGCCCAACTGAATGACAGGTTATACTGTGTTTGACATGAATTGGACTGGAAGAAGTCTGGAACTATACTAACATTGGGATTGATATCATTAAGACAAAAATTTAATTTTCTCCCACCCAAATAAGATGGGATAAGGACTTGCTCTCGATCTCTTGTATGTGAAAAAGACGAAAATACCCTTGTACTTGAAAATAGCCCTAGAAAGCTTGTCCATTCCAGAGTCCCAAATAACAAAAGCAAATCTTCATGGCTAATAGTGAATGAGTGCGTGGCATGTAAATGAGGCATAAATTTACGATTCTACCCTTGGATGTTGCTTTACTTTGCTTGCAGTGTAATTAGGAAGAAGGGGAAGAAGAAGGTTCGTTTTGATTGTGGTCCTCTTGATGGGATATGGAAAAAGAAGCCTCTTCCAAAGAAGCGAAGTGGCATAGTGATATTTGACAAAGAGTTTGAAACTTTCAAGTAGAAAGTAGTTGAAACTAGAGTTTGATGTTAATAGTTTTCATCTTTATGTTTTGTGGGATATGATTTTCAATACTTGATCTTATTTTGGGTCATCTACTGAGATGTTTTGGAGTAGAGTTGCAAAACAGGACTAATAAAGACAAGTTTTTGTGGGGTATTTTTGGAAATTCAAATTTCATTTTCATTTCATTAATTACTACTTTCATTTTGTTAATATCTACTTATCTTGTCTAGTAGTTATTTAAATTTTGTTGCGAAATTTCATAAAAAAAAGATGGCGGATTTAAGTTTATTGCATGTTGATGTCGATGGATTGTCACAATTACAAGGGTTTTAACAAATAAAAACTTTGGATGCCTATTTGGAACATTTTGACCCCCTTAAAAAAAGATTGTGGATTTGGCCTGATGTCATAATTGTGGCAAGAGCCAAGATGGTGATGACTGATTTCTCGAGGAAACTCGCTTTTTTATGTCGACGTTAGTGTGTAAGCACAAAAATTAAAGAAAATGATAAATTTTGTTGAACTCAACAATCATTTTCTAAGAAATAGCCAAATAGCAAATTGATCTAAATAGTCACAATTTTCGTAGGTCATTACTTGTAAAAATCTGTGGTCTGTAATATATATATTTTTTTTTTAGATTTTCGTAATGTACACCTTTGAAAATGTAGGTTTTCGCAGGTGTTGACCTGCAAAAATCTAGCTTGTATTTTCTAAAAAAAATGTATTGTCATGTCTAGTGGACTACGAAAATATGTACCGTAATTATTTTACAAGACATCATTTTGTTAAAAAAAACTCTCCACCTTTCTCTGGTTGAATTTGCAAGCAAACTTTTCCACTTTCCTTTGTCTCATTTTGTTTAGCAAAATTCACCGGCTAATTTTTATTTTTCTGACTTTATTAGAAAAACATGAGTTCAAATATTACATAAGAGTATTTCTTGTTGCTTGCATTGGTGGTTTATGTCAATTAGAAAATGGAGAATGTATATACGTAGATAACTTGTTAAAACTTCATGTTGAAATTCCGCCATATATATATTTTCCAGATTTATTAATTTTGGTCGAACAAAAAAAAGTTTGGAAGACAAACCTCAGTTTGTCTTTCCTAACATTTTATATTGAAGTATTTTATAAATTTAGTTAATGAGAGTGATGGATCTCATGATCAGCTACAAGCAAATTGCTGCTGTCCATAAGATGTGAGATTATGATTTACAACTTTCTAGTGACTTATCTATGGTCTTATAGTGGATGGCCAAATTCCAAGTGGATGAGATTTTGGAGCAATTTGTCCAAAAGTTTTATGATTAATGTGAATCCTATTTATTGGGCAACATGAAAAAAACATCATTCATAGATACATGTGAGAGAGGCTAAGATCTGCCGGAACTTATACAAACAAATGAATGCGGGTCGTTCAGATCCACCACTAGATATGTAAATAGATACTTTGTGACCTTTATTGACGATTTTAGCATTTAATGTATGTTTATCTGATTAAACATAAGTTTGAAACCTTCGAGGTGTTAAGGACTTTCCAAAGTGAAGTAGAGAATCAACAAAACAACAAGATTAAGATCCTCTAATATGGCAGGGGTGGTGAGTATCTTAGTCAAGAGTTTTACAAACATTTTTGGAATTGTAACGTCCCGAAAATATGGATAAATTTTCATTTTTAATTTAATTGAAAACCATCAAGTGTTCATAGCAAACCCAAACAAAGTATGTCAATTGAGAGAAATCATCATAGTACAAATCTAAATCCTAGAGAAAATGCGGAACATGGGTGGATGCGCTGTGATCATGTTGGACCCCTTCCCTTTATTACCAGAAGTACCTGGCACCACAAACATAACTGTAAGCACAAAACTTAGTGAGCTTCCCCAAAATAGCACATACATCATACACATAATATAACAACACGTGGCTGTGTCAGATCCGTATCAAACCCCGGGTTCGTATCAACCCCAAATTACAACAATTAGCTGTGTCGGGTCCGTATCAACCCCCGAGTCCGTATCAACCCTGAGTCCATAATGACTCCGAGCTTAGGTTAGCTCCATACATAAATCATGCAATCACATCAGTCAAAGTCATCCAATAGCATAAATTTTACTCATACAATATAGTGGGCCGACCTTGGTGCCTTCAACCCACTAAGGTGGTAAGAAGACTCACCTATCGAACGTTGATCAACTGCAACTGCTAATACTGCTGCGAACACAGATGCTACCTATAACGTCCCAAAAATCATGTCCAAAAATTTCATATTAAAACCATAATAAAACCATAGTTGTCAAACCATTCATTCAAAACATATTTAATCAGAGTATCATGTCTAAACATATCATATCAGAGTAAAACATCCCAGGGTAAAAACCAATGGTGTGTGCCATGCGATCATCCCGAGCTCTTCCCTCCGCTACCGGAAGTACCTGAAACCAAAACTGCAAACAGTAAGCACGAAGCTTAGTGAGTTCCCCAACCTACAACATACCACATACGCATAACCAAATACACATAACCATATACAGGGCCCCCGCCCGCTGCATCGGGCCTTGCCCGACATCGGACTCGCTCCGGCATCAGGCCCCACCTGGCATCGAGCCCCGCTCGGTATACGGATCTGTCTCTCTTAGGCCCCGCCTGTCTCTGGGCCTCGCCCACTATACACATACAATCATATAAACATGCTAAAACATAAGCAAACATACTCTACTCTATTCCTATCCTAAGGCCTCGCCTAACTTGGGCCTTGCCCATGTCCTGCTAGTGATGAGTCATGGAACCTCGTCCACACTCCTGCTGATAGTGAGATACGGGCCCCCGCCCACACTCACTTCTCTCCTATCTCGGGCCCCGCCCCTACTCTGCTACTAATGAGATACGAAACCCCATCCATACTCAGCTAGTGATGAGATACGGGACCTCGCCCACACTCACCTCCCTACCAGGCACATACAAGTATCATACAGACAACAAGTATAACTAACATACTAACATTCCTTGGGCTTGCCCCGGCATCGGACCTTGGTCCGGAATAACATACATATAAACTTTCCTCGGGCCTCGCCCGACATTGGACCGTGGTCCGGAAACATACTATCATACAATGCCTAGGGCTAACCCCCGGGTCTTCCTACCATACGTAAACCAAAATAGGCCGCCATTGTGGCTGTAGACCCATGCACACAGTGAGGAGACTCACCTCGCACTGCTGAACCCTGCTGAAAACTCCTCTGGCTGC